ACTAGTAGTTGATTTACAGAAAAAAGTGACTGCATCAAATGGGATGTTAGTTATAAATTTTTCTCGCACCCGTGAATTGTTTCATGTAACCGAAATGCCACGTCCGCTGCAAGGGATTGAAGCTAACTCTTTCAGAGTTAATCTGCAAGAGAGGTGGTGCGATTGTGGTTTCTTTCAAGCACTCAAATATTCATGCTCTCATGTCATTGCTGCTTGCTCACATTCGCATTTGGACTACAAAAATTATGTTGATCCCGTATACCAACTTTCACAAGTATTCAAGGTATATGAATTTGAGTTTCCGCCCATAGGAAACGAAAGATACCCAAATGAGATTCAAACTTGGCTTACAATTGTACCAGATCCATTGCTATTGAGGGACTCAGGTCGTCCAAAATCTACTAGAATACATTGTGATATGGATATTCGGGAGAAGTCAACAGAACAAAAACGATGTGGGCATTGTAGAAACATCGGGCACAATAGAAAAAAATGTCCAGCTCTGTTATCATCATATAACCGTTAACTCTTATGTAATTAATATTGTATTTAAATGAATGTTTTTGTTTCTAATAATTTAATGTTATTGCATTTATATAATTTGTCAATGTATGTACACCTAAATAATTTTTTTAAACTTTTAAATACATAAATATATTTAATATATTTATTTAATATAATAATTAATATTATTAGTTATAATTTTTTTAAAATATAATAATAATTTCACCTTCTAAGTAGAGAAAAATATTAAATTAAACAAATTAAAAATTATTAATTAAAAATATATATGTATACAATGACACATTTCATGTTCTGATTGGAGGATTAAATTTATTAAATTAAATTTTCAATAAGACTAATTTTATAAAATATGTAAGTCTTGAAGATTAAATATGTAATTATACTAATTTATTAACTTATACATCAATATTTTCGTTAAATATTGATATGAGATGACTAGATTGATAACATTTAAATAATTAACTGATAAAATTAATAGATCGATAATCAAAAATCAAAAATAATAATATAACCATATGTGTAATATTATAATTTCATACATTTTTCCTATAACTACAATAAAGTCAAAACTGGTTTTCATATATTGTTATATCATATTAATGTATATAATTCACTCCACCTTTAACACACATTAACAAAATACATTTGATAATTCTTACATTATAATCGAAACATTTTACATAATATATTATTAATTTATAATAATAATAAAAATAAAATATTTATTATTAAACAAAATACGTGACAGTCGAGCTGGCGAAAGGCGCGTCTCCGGGGATGCGCCTTCCACACGTGGCATCCAACTCAGCGAAAATACGGGTAAAGCGCGTCCCCGGGGACGCGCCTTTGCCAACTCAACAGAAAATGTACTACTTCGAGAAATGTTGGTCAAACGGTGTCAGAAAGAGAATATTAAAGAAAATTAGTGTCAGTTATGTCAAATAGCCAAATATTTCACCTATAATCCAATGAGTGCTGACTTTAATCGTTGCCTACAAATAGCTCGGTGCTTTAGTGTTGTTGGGAGTATAATAGCTTTGTGAAGCAAATAACACAGGACTCTAGTGCAGCTATGGCGAAGAGGGTCACCGGAAAAGTGGTTTTGGTGAAGAAGAATCTGACGGACATGACTGATCCGGCGAGCTCCTCCACCGCCGTGTTTCACTGCAGCTAATCAGCGCTACCGTCGTCGACTTCGGTCCGTGTCTTTCTTGCGTTTTCTTTTAGGTTTTCTCGGGTTAATTGAATTAGGTGTCTTCTCAAATTTCAAAATATCATTTGTTCTCAGCTAATTGGAAGCGACGGAAGCTCTCCTTGCCGGCGTATTTGGAGGATTGGGTGGGTTCGTTGACACCGATAACCGCAAAAGAAGCGACGTTTTCGGTCAGATTCGATTGGGATGCTGAGACCATGGGTGTTGTTAGGGATGATGGGTATGATTTTTTTGTCCATCAACTTGATCCGAAAATTATAAATTCTCCGTTCAACTTGAATCCGAGCTCGAAAAATAAACACATTCCGCTCCATTTAAATCCGATCTAATTTTTTGAGATAAAATCTAAATTCGACCCGATCTAAAATAATATATCTATTAAAAAAATTATTTTTATTCAATAAAAATATATATTTAATTAAAAGAAATAATATATAGAGATATTATTACAATTATCTCTAAATATATAATATAAAATTACAATTTTTTTAGATCGGGTCTGATCATGTATTTTTCATTGTAAACTTAAATCGAACTCGATGCAAACATAACCTAAAAAAATCTTATCCAACTCAAATTTTTTTTAAAATTGATCCAATCATATCAAATCGATTCAAAAACCGTCAAATTCGGATCATACACCCCTCCCTAGTTATTGGTGCTTTCATCGTAAAAAAACAATCATCATAGTCGGTTCTATATCAAGAAAGTTGCCTTGTACGATCATCCCGGCCATGCCTGGGTACATTTTTTATTCCGAGGCACTTCCCTATTGGACCAAAAGAATAAAAATCAAAGCACATCCAGGTCAAGTATGCGAATCAAGACAGTATAATATATGCAAATGCGACGCATGTAGAGTCAACGATGATTAAAATATACGAATATAATATATTTCAATCTAATTCAATATCATAAAATCAATCTAGTTCCCGTTTGATAATATTATTTTAATAATAATTAATACAAAATAAAACTGAAATCTAAAATCTTAATCTTAGCATAAATCGAGACTTAATTAATTAATGTGCAACGTTTTAAGTACATCAAAAAGACTAGTTTATCATTATTTTAACAGATAAATTTGTCGTGTTCGACGAGTACCGATGAGTACAATTAACGATGAACACTATTAATTTAATTTATAAAATTTTAAATTATAAATGAATCAACATATAATTATAAATTAATTAAAAATTTAAAAATAAATTATTTAAAATAAAGCGTAAACTATACCAATGACCACCTAACTATTGTCCCTTTTCATTTTGACCACTATTTTTGAAATTTTGTCAATCAAGTCACTCAAATATTTAAATGCATTCAATTAAGCCACTTGCTATTAATATTTAACTGAGAAACTAATGTGGCAGTTACAATATTGGGTATAATTACACATTTGGTCACTTTACTTACATATTCTATCAATTTGATCCTAATTTTAATAAATTAAAATATTGTTTAATGTTAAGATGTAAAATTAATTTAATACGTGAATTCAAGTTCAGATATATAAATAGCAATGACCAAATTGATAGAATATATAAGTAACAGTGATCAAATGTGTAATTATACTAAATATTTTAACTGTCACATCAACTTCTCCGTTAAATTTTAATGACAAATGGATTAATTGAGTGCATTTAAACAGTTGAATGACTTGATTGATAAAACTTCAAAAATGATGGTCAAAATAAAAAAGAGACAATAGTTAGGTAGTCACTGATATAGTTTACCCTTTATTTTAAATAATTTATCTTTAAAATTTTAATTACTTTATAATTATATGTTGAGCCATTTACAAATTTATTCTTTTATAAATTAAATTGATGGTATTTATCGTTAATGATCTTATCATGAATATTTGTATAACTTTCCTATTCTAACACATGATTCCCTATCGATGCAAATATATAATTATTACGTATATGTGATGTGTTGGTAGAATCTGATTTGTGGCTGCAAAATGACAAATTAGACAAAACTATGTCTTAATTAGCGTGAACCCATTTTAATATCATTTTTAGAATATAAAACAAAAAATAATTAGCATAAATAGTTTACGTACCATCTTTGAAAATTTATAGGTCGCATCCCTTGAGTAGGGAGGACTCGAATGACATTCATCTCAGTAAAATTAATTTTTCCAATTCTTATAAACTATTGTCGTTAAAATTGTATATTAATTTTAGGGTAAACTACATAAATAGTTACTGAACTTTTAGGACGCTTGCATTTTAGTGACATGACTTTTGAAACTTACAATACAATCATCAAACTTTTAGTTCATTACCAGTAAGGTCTCTGACTTTATCTCCTATTAGTTTTATCTGACATGGCACACTATTCAACTTAATAAAGATTGGAAAAAAAATTCCCAAACAGTGCCATATAGAATTTGGGAAAAATTAAAATGGTTTAAAACTATTTCATCAACCAAATCACTTAGATAAATTAGGTTTAATTTGGGTTTTTTGGTTTAGGCTTTTTTTTAAGATTATCGACTGCTAGTGGATGAAAAAGAGGGAGAGAAGGACTCGATCGAAGGTTTGTTCAAGTGCGATGAACGGTAAGTTGTTATTTCTGAAATATTTGAAATTTTTATTTCTGAATTGTTTCATGTGTTACACTTCAATTTACATGATGAACCTCAAATTATAAATTCATGTACAAATTCCAACTTATCAAAATGAACTTGAAGCATCAAACATAAAAAGAAAGAAAAAAACTAAAATCTCTAAATCCTAAATTACTCATTTCTTAACCCAATATAATCATATACAACAAACCCCCCCCCCCAAACAAACCACCCAAATCACCCGCTCAAATCTTCTTCCCCTCTCTATGGCTCTCATCATCCTTAGCAAACCAACGGTAACAATGTGTAAGGCATCTTTGATTGTTGGGACAGCAGTTGGTGTCTTCATTTCTAGTTTCGCTTGTTGATTAAACAAAGAGAATAAGAGAAAGGTAAATTTTATTTTTAGGGGTTTTCACTCAATTTTGGGTGAGGAATTTTTTTAGTGTAAAGTATATAAATAATTCTCAAATTTTTAGAGTGCTTGCATTTTAGTCACTCAACTTTTGAAACTTGCATATAATCATCAAACTTTTAATTCACTTTCATTTTGGTCCCTGCCGTTACCCGTCGTTAGTTTTTGCTGCACTTAACCCGTTAATTTTCTGATGTGGCAGCAACAACTTTTTCTTCTTCTTCCTTCTTTCTTCATTATTTTTTTTCTTTTCTTCTTCTTCTCACACACTCTGTCCGAAAAATACTAGCTTTGCCTTCAAGTTGAGACCTCAGCATTAAAAACAGGGCAGACCTGCAGCAATACAGCAAAATACAAAAGGTGACGATATGAAGGAGTCGCATAAACCGAAATTCCAACACATTTAATATTAACAAAATCGTAACACTGGAACAAACTACAAGCGGTTAAACGGAAATATAAATAACCATACCTTGTTTATTTTCAACCAATTATTTATGCACTCGAGATGATATGAATGCTTGCAAGAAAGTGACGTTAAGGAGTCACCATCCTCGTAGTCTACACGGCAGATGACACACCTGAAAACATGGTTACAAGTTCAATCATCTAGAGAAAACATTCAGGCATACAAAATAAATAAAATTAAAGCATTCGAACTTACGAATCGTTGCTTCCAGTTTGACTATTTCCTGTCTTGTTTGTTACAAAAGGCAAGCATACAATCGAATCAGCTGAAAGCCCCCTGCTCTGTGTCCCAACTACTTCACCAAGTGAGAGGAGTTCCTGAATGATAGAATCGAGCTTAGTATGAGTGCTTGAGTAGAATTTTATAACACTCAAACCTAAATGGAAGCTTACCTCATATGAGAGCTCATCAGGATCAACTTCCTCCTATGTATCCTGCAAATACATGTCATCGAAAGGGTGACAACTTGAAATAAATAGAAATAATAACACACAACACTGCTTTAAAGGAAAAATATAAGAGGGAAGAAAAATCATGCTCTCTCCTACAAGAAAATGTCAAGTTAATTTGAGCATGCATTAGCTATTTCATGAAAATTCAGTCAATTCACACTAAGAGCAGTGCAAAGAATAAAGACTAGCTTCTGTTCTCCGATGGACTACAGTGAAAGAATGACAACGGGCATCAAATGAATCCCCCAAGTCCAGCGATTCTAAATCTCCTCCCTCTCCCAGCCCTTCCGGCTTTTCTGAAAAGAGCACCGGCAGCTCCCCCGTCCCCCACCAAAAGCAATGATGACGAATCCTCTGTTCCAACTCCCGAGGATTTTCTTGGCAAGAAGATCAATGAAGAAAGAAGGAAGAAGAAGAAGAAGAAATTGCTACTTCACGATAAAAAGTCAACGGGGTTAAGTGTAAAGTCAGCAAAAACTAACAGCAGGTAATGCAGATATTAAAATGAAAATGAATTAAAAGTTTGATGATTGTATTATAAGTTTTAAAAGTTGGGTGACCAAAATGTAAGTGTCGTAAAAGTTTGGAGACTATTTATATACTTTACCCAATTTTTTATTTAGCTAAAATCGATTAAAATGATTATTTTACTAAGTTAAAAAATAATAATAACATGCCACGTCAGACAATTAACGGGAGATAGTGCGTCAGGGATTTTACTGAAAATAAACTAAATGTTAAGTGATTGCATTACAATATTTAAAAATTAGATTACCAAAATGAAAGTATTCTGAAAGTTTGGTGACCATTATATAGTTATCTTAAATAAATAAAAAATTATTCACCAAACTTTTCTTTTTGACCATCAAGACCGCGTGCCCAACAGTTACAGAATAATAATGATGGTAGGCTGCTTACTGTAAACACATTTTTTATTAGTAAAAAGATAGCATTCATGATTCATATGCGAAACAATTCAAACTAAATCCGAACGCATCTTTTTCAACAAATAAAAATAGGGTAGTCTCTCAACTTTTAGAAAATTTTCAATTTAGTCACTAAACTTTTAAATTTTTTAGAGTAAATTACAATCTCTCAATTTTAAGTTATTTTTATTATGATCATTATTTATTAAGAAAAACTGATTGACACATTGAAGATTTTCACTTTAGTCACTAAACTTTTAAATTTTTTAGAGTAAATTACACTAATAATCTCTCAATTTTAAGTTATTTTTATTATGATCATTGTCATTAAGAAAAACTGATTGACACATTAAAATCTTCTCTCCCAAAAGAAATCCTAATTCTTCAAATTGGTAACTATCGTAAAGGCAGTTTTTAGATGAGTGAAACGATTGTCAGTCAATCCTAACAGTAGACTGGTTGTTTGGTTAAAAGATTGATATAATTCAGTTTTAAGCTGACCTAACAATTAATAGTGACAGATAAAAAAAATAACTTTTTTAGATTCTATTGCATATTGTTGCTTCCTTTCGTTGCCATTTATGTCTACGTTCAATATTTTCTCTGATAAAAAAATTACCAAACTATATCTTCTTCTTCTTCTTTCATTCAATTCAGACTCGGGGGAAAATCTTCTAATCTCCTAAAATTTCAATCAGACCACAATTGAAACTAAAATTTAAAACTTTATGATTCGTCATTGTCGAATGACAAATCATCTTAGAATTAAACTATATTAATTTTTTAATCAAATGAATTTTTCTTACCTTTGGAATTGATTGATGATCAATTCGTTCATCGGAGATCTGTCATTTGTGGTAACTACGAATTTGGATCCTTCTGATTTTTTTGAAAAAAGAATTTAATATGTTATGTTAGATTTTTCTAATGACAATCACATTAATAAAAGTGAATAAAAAGTTTAGTGATTGTAATTTAACTTTTAAAAATCTAATGACAAAAGTGAACATAACCTGAAATTAGAGGGAACACAAGTGTAGTTTACCGATAATAATATATTAAGTTAGTAGTATTTAATGTACTTTTAGTAAAATTTAATAAGTAATATTTAAATATTGCTACTTGCATTATAATTCTAATACTAAAATATAAATTATATACAAAAATTTTAAATTAGCTTAATATAAAAATAAATAACTAAATAATACATAAAATTAATTTTTGGCTTTTAAATTATTTTTTTTTATTAAAAATAGATATCTAATATTTTTTCGCTACACCTTTAGGTACCTGTTGTTGAAAAAAATCGTTAAGAGAGACATCTCACATTTATATTTTTTTATTTTGTTAAAACTAAAATATTTTTTAAAAAAACTAAACATAACACATGACATTTAATGATTTTTCACGATATGTATCTAAAATATAACAAAGAAAACATTAAATATTTATATTTATATACTTAACGGTTGATTTTAAGTATAATTTAGACATTCATATTTATATTAAGTTTAAATTATAACCGTTAATGTCGCATCTCATTCATTCAACTTTATTTGAGCAGTTTCTTTAGCGCCAATGACAATGAATAGGTTTAATATTAAGTACTATATTGATAATAAATTATGCCACGTGGTTGGATTATTTTAACTAAATACAAAGAATGCTGACGTTAATCTTTGCCTACAAATAGCTTGGTGGTGCTTTCACCTTACATTCATTGCTTAAGATCTTGTTGGGAGCATAATAGCTTTGTGAAGCAAATAACAGAGGATTCGAGTGCAGCTATGGCGAAGACGGTCACAGGAAAAGTGGTTTTGGTGAAGAAGAATCTGACGGACATGACTGATCCGGCGGCTTCTTTACTTGACCGAGTCGGCGAGATCCTTCACCACCGTGTTTCACTGCAGCTCGTCAGCGCGACTGTTGTCGATTTTGGTTCGTATCTTTCTTGCCTTTTCTTTTAGGTTTTCGCGGGTTAATTGTATTAGATGTATTTTTGGATTAGGATTTTAGAATTTCAACTTAATCTTTAAATTTGAAAATATCATTTGTTCTCAGCTAATTGGAAGCGAGGGAAGCTCTCCATGCCGGCGTATTTGGAGGATTGGGTGGGTACGTTGACACCGATAACCGCAAAAGAGGCGACGTTTTCGGTCACATTCGATTGGGATGCTGAGACCATGGGTGTTCCAGGTGCTTTCATCATAAGAAACAACCATCACAGTCAGTTCTATCTCAAAAACGTCACCTTGTACGATCATCCCGGCCATGCCTGGGTACATTTTGATTGCAATTCATGGGTGTATCCCACGAATAAGTACACCTATAATCGTATCTTCTTCTCCAACAAGGTAACTTTGAAGTTTCGAGTTCGAATCTTATGTTTAAATAGTAAGAAATGGGACTAGTGGATTCGCTAACAGATGTTATGGTTATATTTTGTTTTAGAATTACCTTCCATCTGAAACACCTGAAGCCTTACACGACTACAGGAGGGAAGAACTTGAAAATCTTAGAGGAATTGGACGAACAGGAGAGCTCAAAGAATGGGATAGAGTATATGATTATGCTTACTACAATGACTTGGGAATGCCGGAACTGGGGAAGAAATTCGCACGTCCAGTGCTCGGTGGATCGGCTCAGTATCCGTACCCGAGAAGAGGGAAAACTGGTCGTGCACCAAACAGAAAAGGTTGGAACTTGGAATTCTCAATTATGAATTTCATTACTTAAAACTTGATCTCTCTACTTTGTGAAAACTGAATATGGAGAATGTGTGACCAACAGATCCTAACACGGAGAGCAGATTGGGTGGACTAGACTTGATCACGCTAAACATTTACGTTCCTCGAGATGAACGGTTCAGCACGGTGAAATTCTGGGATTTCCTTGCTTATTTTCTGAAAGCTGTGTCTCAGACTATGGGAACAGTAGTAGACGACCACAACATACGCGAATTCGACTCCATTCAAGACGTATTGGATATGTATGAAGGTCATATAAAACTACCAAGAAATGACACTCTAAAGGGAATAAGGGATGCAATCCCTTGGACTCTTGTCAAGGAACTTCTTCGTAATGATGGTGAAAAATTAATGAAGTTCCCAGTGCCCGCTGTGATCAAAGGTATACGACAAAACCTTTCCATTTTCATTCGCACGAGATGGTCTCAACACGATGTTAATGTTGCTATTTTGTTGGTTGCAGAGGATAAGAATGCTTGGAGGACGGATGCAGAGTTTGCTCGAGAAACTCTTGCCGGTCTCAACCCGGTTATCATCAGTCGGCTTCGAGTAATTATAGCTCCCACATTAAAGTTCTTTTGGTCACTTGATTGGATAATTCACAATAATTCATCATGTTTATAGGAATTTCCCCCAACCAGCAAGCTTGATCCTGAAATATATGGGAACCAGCATAGTAGCATTAGAGAGGATGACATTAAGGATAATATAGATGGATTAAGTGTGCAAGAGGTAGTATTCAACATCATTTGCTTATGCTGATGTTATCAGATTGTAGCAAATACCAGATTACTTATTGTTTTCTTTTTTGTTGTTTTATTTGTTTGTATTCGATTCAGGCTCTAGATAAGAACAGATTGTTCATATTGGATCATCATGACGCACTGATGACGTACCTGCGGAGGATCAATTCGACTAGCTCAAGGATTTATGCCACTCGAACCCTTTTCTTTTTGCAAGATGACGGCATGCTTAAGCCGTTGGCGATCGAGTTGAGCTTGCCGCATCCGCAAGGAGACAAACACGGTGCGGTCAACAAGGTCTTCACCCCGGCAGAGCGCGGTGTTGAAGGTTCCATCTGGCAGTTGGCCAAAGCTTATGTTGGGGTGAACGATTCGGGATACCATCAGCTCATTTCTCATTGGTATGATTGCTGAAATACC